TTTTTTTTCCCCTTGAAAAGCTGGCAGGGGTGTTGACGACAGTGCCGGGTAACGATGTCCAATAGGAGGCTGGGCGCACCGTGTTCAGCACTCCATCTTGGATAGATGGACCCACCCACAGACAGGGAACAGTCAAGGACAGGACACTCAACCTCGACCACACCACACTAGGGCAGGTATTAGTCCACTGCACTTCTTTATTGCTGGCAACTGGCTGCGCTGTACCCAGGCTCAAGTTCCAGGGGCCCAAGGTGACCTGTCGGGTGGCATGCACTGTTACATGCTGCGCCTGCAACAGGCTGCACGCCGTGCACGGGCCGTTTCCAGGCCCGTGACGTTTTCAGGCCAAAAGCCTGAAAACAAGGGCCTACAGGCCGTGTGTCATTTCAGCCTGAAAGCCTGAAAACAAGGGCCTACAGGCCCTGTGTCGTTTCAGGCTAAACCAGGGCCTTTCACCAGCCCTGAGTGTTTTCAGCCTGAAACTGCGGGCCATTTTCGGGCCCTCATCAGTTCGACCTGCCCTGAAACTCAGGCAACAAACCAGGGTCTTAGCACAGGCCATTTCGGGCCTGTTTTCAAGACAACCCCTGGTTGAGCTTCAACGCCAGGGTCTGGCACGTCTCGGCATTAGCAAGAGCAGCCTCCTGGACGGGCCAGCACTATATAGGACTGGCCCGCCCTGCAGGCAGGCAGGTAGTTCCTAGGTACTTCCCAGGCACGTCACGTGCAGTTCAGGAGGCAGGAGGTAGTCTTCAGGATTCGGCAGCAGCACTCTGAAGGAGCGCTGCAGGAGTAGTAGTAGCGTTAGCAGTAGTCTTCAGCGTTGGGCGCTAGTAGCGTTAGCTGTAGTCTTCAGCGCTGGGCGCCATAGCAGCTAGAGTAGTACTATAGAGAGAGAGATTGGGTGGAGGCCAGGACTTACCTGCAGCGACATCGCTCCAGCTTCACCTTCGAGGTACCTGCAGCACAGCGCCACCTTCACAGGTTAGTACCTGGCATATGAGAGAGAGAGAGTTCTTCTTCTTTCTCTTCTCAGTCCACCATCTCCATCTCACCCTCTCTCTACCTGACTTCAGTGCATCAGCAGACTATGAGAGAGAGAGAGAGAGCTTGGTGACATTTGGATCCAGACTTGACATTGGACTTCAGACATTTTGACGAGGGATTATTTGGGACTTGTAACAAAGACTTGGTGTTGACGACTTTCCCATCTCCCCCCTCCTCTTCTTCGTCTGTGCATGATCTGGACCTGGCGCCTTCCTCCTGTGTATAGCGCCAGGCTCCCTTCACACTTCGTGATGAGAATGATGTCTGTTGGGTCTGCGTGGCAACATTGATTGGGCTAGTCATTGGTATTCTAGCATTCTGCTACGCTATCTTGCACTACGTGATAGAGGTCCGTTTCGGTCAGGTCAGGACTTGTATCTAAGTCTTCCCTGCGCTATAAAGCACCATGTTTGTATGTATCAGAATGTACATTACTTGTTGAGATTCTACTTGCACTGCATTGTCCATTCAGTCCTTTTTATCACATTGCCGATCCTCGGGTTTTATATGTACATCGCCCAACTGGGCATGTAACATGCACTGTCGCCTATCGCCAAGGGGGGTGTCGTAGGCCTGCTGGGGGAGCAGCAAACCCTGGCCTCCCTTCCCTGTGATTCAACTGAGTCCACCCCTCCCCCGCCCCATTCCCCCATGAACCCGCATAACCCAAGGAGGGCGTACAAGTGGTCACGTTGGTCGGCACCCTCCGGCCTGAGAGCGCGTGCACTGGAACAGACTCAATGTAGCAGTCACAATGGCTAGATCCCACAGTTCGGGTCTGTCTAATACCTGACTTGTGTGGATAAGCACCGGCGCTTGTGCAGATCAGCACCTGGTGTGTCCCTGGCCTGCGTCGGTCGACGTCCATCGGCCGAGTGCGCACAGTTGAGAGTTTGAGAATTTGAATTCACGGCCTCTAACCCCAATACGCATTTGACACCGGTCCGCTGCCCACTGAGCTATGACCCTGGACAGTATACCAAGTGTTCTACATGGCTGAAATTTTCCCAGAAGTGCAGGGAGCGGTACACAACTGTCACTAGTCAAGATCAGTACAAGCCCGATATGTTGAGTTATTCATACAGGATTTGATCTGGGAATTTGATCAAACCTTGCCGACACAAAAGTCTGAATTGGAGAAATCTCCATTATGTATGTTAAACTTTTCATAAGGGTTCTTCGAAAGAGGATCATGAGCCACCTGCGTCCCCAACGCAAGGAGGTAAGGACGTACCACAAGATGATAGAGGCTTTAGGAGGTTGAAGAGGATGTGGAGAGTGTTCCTGCGCACGCACAAGATGAACCTGGACACACTGCCGCAGCAGCTCACGACAGTCTGCATTCTTCACAACATCCTTCTCGACACAGGAATCGACTTTGATGAGAATTTTCTGTGGGAAATCGATGAGAACGGAGTGCGGCGCCGAGTGGACCTCGACATTCATCGCCCTCCACAGCGAGTGGTAATGACAACGCCGACAGACGGGGTGTACGAGTTGCACATTGCCTTGGCGGAGCGCATGAAACACACGTGATTCGTCGTCGTGCTTGGAGACGTTGCGCATTCTGGTTGGATCGTCCTGTGTTTCGCCGCGCATTTCGTGGTTGTCCAATGTCGTCTGTTTCTTCGAGCGCCTTCGTTGCTCGCGCGTGGGCATGTGGCTGGCGGCGGTTGTAGTGGAAGTCGCCATCGTGGCGATCATGCGATGATCGCCTCCTCGACCACTTCCGCAGTCTCGCCGCACACGAGGTTGTATTCTTCATTTTCTGTTTTGTCAATGTGGCGATGGCACTAGGCAGGGTGACCATTTGCGCTGCTCCGGGTGGGCATTTGCAGACGTGGGGGTCGACGGTGGGTTTTGTTACTCGGCCAATTCGTCGAGGTCGGTCATGTGGCGCAGACTGGGTGAAGGGAACCATAGAAGAACAGCGAGTACGAAACTGTGTTCGCCGCCTCCTTTTTAATGTTTTGATCTTCGCCTTTCTGTTAGCATGGATAACATGCGCATTGTGGTGGCGGTGGTACTTTGCAATAGGAATTCTTTCGTGTTCTATTCGAACAGTGTTTTCTTTTGGTTTACCATGTTGCTCATGCATTCGCATGCCTGTATTTTTTCGTCCTCCATTGACGGGACTTCTGCATGTGTCATCCAAGTGCCTTTCAATGTTCGGATGTGACTGCCATGTTCAGACTTCATGCTTCACTTCTATTGTGCTGAAGTTTAATTTATGATTTTGCATTTCCCGTGGTTTTTGGTTGCGCTTTGTTGTCGTCTATTGTTCTTTTCCAAAATTTGGTGAAGCTGTCATATCTCAACCAACGACATGAAGAGCATCAAGCCGGAATGCCACTATTAGAAGGATAAGCAAAGGTCGATGCACAGACACGCATCCGTTCAACAGTGTGCAGGCCCTCGACAATCACCATACGTCGCATTCACAACGCACGAAAAAGAAGTATTCATGACACCCATGTTGTTACATAATGAACGAACAAAGCGCCGGTGCGCAGTTCTTCACAAACTTTTGCAGTGAACGGCATCAAAGAGACTACTGCTCTTATCAGTACCATTAGCACTGGCGGGGGCGTTTTCGCCAAAAAAAAAAAAAAAGAGACTACATATGTAACGGGAGTGAGGCTGAGGGTGAGCCGAGGGAGAGGAGAGAGAGAGGGAGAGAGTGAGAGCACACACACACACTCACTCACTCGACACAACGGACTCGGACTGAGGGTTGGACGCAGACACAGTGGCAAGGCACAAAGTCGAAGTCTTGGATTCCCAATGCCGAAACGGCAAGTCACACTGAGTACAAGTACAGCAGCAGAGAACTGGTACGAGACTGGTCCCCGTACCGTACGGGGAGCCGGTATAAGTACCGGTGACACGTACGGTACCAGGGGCATTTCTGCAAAGGCCCCGAGGGCAGAACTGAAAAATGCAGTATTTGAAAGTGGCGCCCGAATTGCAGCATGGCGCCAGTTGTCCAAAATCCTATGGTACCAAAGGAGGGGTTTGGAAAAAGGGTGCCAGGCCGAAAACGGGATGCAGCCGAAACAGCAAAAGATAGACCAGGGATCGAGCCCTGGCGAAGTCCGTAACAACATACACTTCAAACATAACATCAATCATAGCAGTAGTGAGGGTGGGCTAAACAGCCCTCATCGGCGATGGCACGAATGTCTAACCTATGGACGAACGACACATGAAACTTGCGCCGCTTGCACTGCTCATCTGCCACTGCCGACGTTCCATGCACTGCTCCCACTAAGTTGCGTACTCCTAGGACGCGCCTCCCATGAACCCCCTTCAAATGCACGCGGAGTCCACGACATCAAAGACTCATACCATCCATGGAGGCGAGACACCAACATCCACTACTACCCTGCGTCAACTCCTCGAACACCTCATCAAACGCCCCCCCCTTCAAGGGATTGCCACCGTTTTGACTGCCATCATCCTTTTCGGCGCCCGCCGAAGGACCAATGCCGAGCCATTGATGACTCTTGGCTTCGTCTGCGTCCTTCAAGGCCACGTTATGGTTGAACTTGAGCTCGCGATCAAGCCAATCAGGTATGCAATGTGGGTAGTCACCTAGCGTGAGGTGGGGTTTCCCAAGGTGATCCAAAACGACGTTCTCGGTGTCAAGAATGTGTCTCCTCCCGTTAAAGATGTAACAACCAGTGGCAATTTAATTTAGTGTTGGTTTGGCAAGCATGATCGCTTAGAAGGATGCCTCGTAGTGGGAACGCTCGTCGTCGCCGCCGATGCGCATGATCCACATGCATGCGCTAAGGAGTGTTCGAAGACAATCGGCGAGCATGTTTAGTCTCTCCTGCTTCAAACGGCCGCCGTCGTCCAACACTCTGCAAGGCGGACAATTGTCGTCTCTTGCTGCGCCGCCATGTCGTCGTCCGCAGGCCTGTCGATGATCTTGACCCCCGCGAACCACAGAGGCACATACATCTTTATCTGCGAAGTGTAGAAGATCAGAGCCAGGGGAACCACGCTCGCGCACTCCAGACCTTGCGAGACAGCTCACGCTAAGTCCGTAGTGTAGTCCACGGTGATGTAAGATTCTGTGCGAGCGCAGCCATTCAACCGGGACGACGACCTGAAGATCCACCCGTGGATCGTGCGCAGCACAACATTCTGGGTGTTCCTCGCCCGGTAAAGAGCAGGTTCTCGCTGCGCGGGGTCGTCTATCTTGAAGCGCGGCACATCGTTCAGCCGCATGATGAGCATGGGCGGGGGCTCAGCTCCTGCATCTCCGTTGGCGAGGGCGATGAAGTAGTCCGCACAGTTGACAACCGCCTCCCGCAGCGGTTTCTCTTGCCCTTGCCCCTAAAAAAACATCTCGCAATTCACCCACAGCTTCGACTGCGCCTCCAGATTGTCGTCCTTATTACTGGTCTTCCTCCTTCTTTCTTCTGCTTAGAAAGGAATAGGGATACAGGCTTGACATGATAATTCCAGCACGAAGAAAATGCCCAGGCAAAAGCTGCAAAAGCCGCAAAAGCCACAAAACCCTTTTTCGTCTGGAATTATCATGTCAAGCCTCCAAAAAATATGTCATTTATTCGGGCGCAATGCCCAGGCAAAAGCCGCAAAACCCTTTCGAAATGATTTTCTTTTTTTCGTCTTTTCTTTTCAGTTTTCCTTTTCGCTTTCCCTTTTTCTTCCCAGGATTTCACAGTAAGGGTATATGATTCAACATATGTACGTACCTCTCGAGTTCTGGTCCTTGTTTAACAAAAGAGACCTTGTGGTCCCCACCGCCATTTCTGCACCATCATGGGTACTATGGCATCAAAACTCAGTTTCAAGTTTCAACACTTTACCTTTCCTTGCATCTGTACCAGGTTCTGCTTCTGCACCTGCACTTGTACAAGGTCCTGCATCTGCACCAGGTCATGCAATTGTACCAGGTGCTGGATGTGCACCTAGACATCAACCTGCTTCTCTGTCTGCAATTCTCCTTGCACCTCTAGCCTGCTGCTGTTCAGCCACCTGGGGCAAGATAGAACGTACCTGCATTCTTCATTCATGGCCGCTCAATGCGCTCATCCTCTCATTTGATGTTCATAAATCAAGAATCCAGGCAAGTGGCTGTTCGTGTGCTGCTCGCATTGACGAGGGCGATGAAGTGATTGATGTAATTGTTGTAGCAATTGGCATATTAATCACATAGTACTTTCTTTTTCTGAATTTTGATCTGTTATGTAACTTAATTAATTTGAAGGGATCACACTTGTGAATCTTCGTTTCACATTGAGAGTTTAATTTGTGATATTCAATTTTTCAGAAAGGGAATGGTTCAATGGTTTGAGAAATTAATTCGAGTTTCATTTTGCTCTGAATCATAGGTGTGGGATTGCATACGTACCTCCTGCACCTCCTTCAAAACTCAGAATTTAAAATCAACTCCTCTCGAGCTCAACGATCTTCGATTTATGCCGCATACGGCGACATGATTATGAGGATGATCGCCATCACTATCATTTTGTACTTTTTATTTCATCTAACTATAATTTTTCTGTCTTATTCGTATTCTTTTGGCTTGTGTTTTTTTTTTCCCCAAAGCTTATGGAGATTCTCAAGGTTCTACAANCTCTCTCTCTCTCTCTCTCTCTCTCTCTCTCTCTCTCTCTCTCTCTCTCTCTCTCACGCGCGCGCGCGCTATACCAAGTACTGACCTGCGAAAGGTGGTGCTTTGATGCAGGTGCGGACGTGCTGAAGACAAAGCTGGAGCAAGGGCTACGCAGGTAAGTCTCAGGTAAGTCCTCAGGCCGCCATCACCATCTCTCCCTCCCTGCACTGCTCTACCGTATCAGTGCCCAGCGCTGCAGACTAGTCCTATCGTCGACTACTACTCCGCTACTGTCGTCTGAAGTATGCCTCCTCGATCCTCGACTCAAGAATGAGGAACTGAGGCCGGACCCAGCTATATGTAGCACTGGGTTGGCCTCAGCCGCTAAGTCCTGGCGCTCAAACTGAGGCTGGGCCTCAAAGTTTGGCGCCCAAACTGAGGCTGCTCCAGCGCCTACCGAAACGACGCGGCCTCAAAGTCAGGCCTTGGCGCCAAAACGCGCGCCAGGGCCTGTACTCAAAACGAGGCCTACAGGGCCTCTTCCTGGTACCGGTCCTACTCGGCCTAGACTCGGCCTACCAACCCTACGGACCCTGCTGAGGGTCGAAACGATGCAAACCCTACACCTACGGACCCCTAGTCTACCTGGTCGGGCCCTGTTGGGCCCGTGTGGTACTGAGTATGCCACACTCCCCCCTTCTTGAAAGACCGAGCTTACCTGCGAGGGCGAAGCTGTCTGTTGGAGGGAGGGACTGAAGTCCGGGTGGGAGGCTGTGCAGCTTCCGTGGCTAGCCGTTTTTTCTCATGATCGACGTAGACATCTGGTGCGGAGGCTTGCAAAGCTGCCCAGGAAATCCATCGCGTGTCGTCGCGTTCGCACCATTTGAATGTGACCTTGTACTGCATTGGCTTGTTGTCGTGCTTGCGATGCGTGATGACGCGGTCGTCGGTCGACTTCCTGATGACCATCCATGGAAGGAGGGTCTTGCGATCGTCGGCCCGGGAAGTCATCGCTCTTGGCTGGGGTATATGTGGTCAGCTTGGAGGCGTGGAAAACCGGGTGCATTGTGAGGTGCGGCGGATTTCGATCACAAAGGAGGGGCCATCGGGCTCATCGCCCGCGGCTGATGTGACGGGCCATGGTCCAAACCACTTTGGAAGTAGCTTGCGGGATACATCTTGTTCAAGCGCAAACTCCTTCATGGAGACCCAAACAAGGTCGTCGGCGCGGATAGGGCATGGCACGCGACGCCTGTTAGGTTGCTGTTGCATGCGGACTTGAGCCTTTTGCATGTTGGCGCTGGCTTTAGCCAGCAGGTCCCTATACTTCCGAACGGAGGCGGGAGAACAAGCGGCGTCAATGTCTGCAGTCCTTGGAAATGGAAGATCAGCGAAGATACGGCCTTTCCTGCCACCGTGGTGCAACTCGAAGGGAGTCACGCCGATCGCCGGGTGCAACGAAGTGTTGTAGGCAAATTCGATGTCGGGGAGGCGGTCAACCCAATCCTTCTGATCCGTACGGATGAGTGTGCGAAGTATTACTTGAGCGGCTTGATGTGCCCCCTCCGTCTGCCCGTCCGTTTGCGGATGCCGAGCCGAACTTGGTTTCATCTCGATGTCGGACTCTTTCATGAGGGAGGTCCAAAATGCCGACATAAAACGACTGTCGCGGTCGCTGACGATGTCTTCCAGAACACCGTGACCGCATATCCAGCCAGTGTGTAAAAGGCGCGCAAGTTCAGGAGTCGTGGCGTAGTACTTGCAAGGAAGAAATCGTGCGTACTTGCTCAAACAGTCAACGACCATGAGAATGTCGTGGTGCCCGAAACAGTCGCGGGGGAACTGGCCGATGACGTCCATAGCAATGGAGAGGCCGGGTTCCCGCGGGATAGGCAACAATCGTAACTCACCGTAGGGGTTGTGATTGTGGGGTTTGCTTCACTGGCAAACTTCGCAAGAGTCGCAATACCGAGTGACGTTGGTAATGAGGTCCGGCCACCGGAATCACTGCTGAAGCCTTGCGATCGTACGGTTGACTCCGAAGTGGCCGGCGAGTCGCGAGTCGTGGCATCTGCCGAGGAGGTGAGTCCGTAAACGACGGTCGTGTGGGACGCATAGTGAGTACTTGCCTCGTGAGTGAAGAAGCAAGTAGCCATCGACGACGCGATAATGGCTGGCCGGCAGGTAATCCGAGGATAGTTGCTCGTAGAGTGTGGCGTATTCCGAATCGGACTTGTATGCTCGCACAAAATGCTGATGAAGGGCGTCGTTGAAACCGGACGCGTGGTGAGTCAATGCACAAAGATTTGATCTTCGCAAGAGAGCATCCGCGGCTCGGTTGGAGAGGCCCGAAATGTGTTTCGGTGTGAATTCGAACTGATCGATGAAGTACATCCATCGAGCGATCGTGCTGTTCACCGTGTCTTGCGTCTTGTAGTAGGTCAATGGGTTATTGTCCGTAGCCCAAGTGAACCTACGACGACCGAGGAGGAAATGTTGCCAAGGCTTGAGTACCGTGAAGAACGCAAGCAACTCCTTCTTCCGCGCATCATCAACCAAGTTGATGGGGGCACCTTTTGGCTGAAGTACTCAATCGGATGCCAATCTACTCTGTCGTGTTGTTCCAAAACTGCACCCATGCCGTAGCCGGAAGCGTCCGTAGTCACTCTCGTAGGCAAGGTGGGATCGTAGATTCTCAGGACGGGAGCGAGGAGCAACGTCGTCTTAAATTTGTGGAACGAACTGCGGACTTCGTCGGTGAACTGGAAGGGCACAATTGGAGACTGCAATCTTGACAAGGACGAGGCGATCCGTGCGTATCCTTTGATGAAGCGTTGCTAGTACCCGGCCAATCCCATAAAAGAACGGACTTCCGTGGTGTTGGTCGGTTCTAGCCACTCTTGGATGGTCTTGATCTTGTCCGAGAGTGGACGGATGCCTTGCGGCGTCACAAAGTGGCCCAAGTACTCGAGCTCTTGCTGCGCGAATTCGCACTTGGCTCGGTTGGCCTTGTACTTGACCGTACGTAGCCTGTCCAAAACAGCACGTAGATGCACGATGTGCTCGTCCAAAGTCCGGCTATACACCAAGATGTCATCGAGGTAGATGAGCACGAACCGGTCCAACATGTCGCGAAACTCTATTGTCATTGCCGCTTGGAAGGTGGCCGGGGCATTCGTGAGGCCGAATTGCATTACGACCCACTCGAAGTGCCCGTACTGTGTCTTGAACGCGGTTTTGTATCGATCTCTTGGATGGATCTCGAGCTGGTGGTAACCGGCCTTGAGGTCCAACTTGGAGAAGTACTTGGCGCCGCCCAATCGTTGGAGAAGATCGTCGATGCGTGGGAGCGGGCCGACATTCTTAATTGTTTGAGCATTAAGCTTACGATAGTTAATGCATAAGCGCAGTTCCTTGTTCTTCTTCCGGACGAAGAGAACGGGTGCACCGTAGGGCGAGCAGCTAGGGCGAATCCAGCCCTTGTCAATGAGGTCATCAAGTTGTGTTCGCAGCACTTCGAGTCCCTCCTCGCTCATGCGGTAAATACATTCGCGCGGAGGTACGGCCCCATCTTCGAGGATGATCTCATGACGAATTGGCCGATTCGGTACGATTCCGACGGGGGCTTCAAAGACGTCGCCATAGGAGTCAAGAAGCTGTAAAATGCGTGGATCCAGTGGTTGTTCCGCCGCTGGCTCGTCGGGAGGGGGGAGGGCTTGCAAGAAGCAAATGCCCATTTCCTCCACGTCGTTCCGTGCGATGGAGTTGCGAATGCTTGCCGCGGAGACCACGTGACAACCAATCGAAGGGTGAGGTGGGGGTGTCGTACATGGCCCAAGTATCCCGTTCCGGTCACGAACGTGAACGGTGCGGCGGTAGAAGTTCACCGGGTGGTCCTCGCTGCGCAGCCACGACATGCCCAAAATCATGTTCTTATACACATCTAGATGTGTATAAGAGACAGGTGTGTGTGTGTGTGTGTGTGTGTGTGTGTGTGTGTGTGTGTGTGTGTGTGTCCCATCTCTCATTTCCCCCCTGTTCACTTCAGCCTCCGTCAGTCCGTCTATCCATCATATCCATCAGTGTTTCGTTGGCTTCTGTCCAATGTTCGATAACTGAATAACATCACTCCGTCCATCTGCACCATCCAGCTGCTCCATTCATCTGCTCCATCTATCCATGCATCCGTCCATCCATCCATTCCTTTATCCACCCACCCATGTAGCCGTCATATCACCAATCTGCCCATTCAAAAATCCGGTATGTAAATTCTGTGAGTCCGTCCTTCTATTCCGTGGATGTGTATCCAGCATTCAAATTCTGTAATGCGACACTACCGTGGTTGGACTGGGGTAATGCCAATTGTGCAGGTGTCCACTATGCAGGTTTCCACTGTGCAGGTTTCCAATGTGCTGGATTGGATAGGTTACTAGTTAGAACGTTTCCTAGCCATGGTGGCAACCCCTCGCCATGGTCATAGTGCAACCTGTGACCCACCACCACCCCCTCCTCCTGCCCTCCCTTCCCACCACATGTCAGACTCTGTGGAGAGTTCATCTTCTGTAATTCTATTACCAGTTGTTTGCGAAGAATTATTAGTGCACAATTCTGGATTTGGGGCGTTTAGACATTGTTGCAGACCTATAGCGACAAGAGGAGGAGAGGAGGAGGAGGAGGAGGAGGAGGAGGAGGAGGAGGAAGAGGAGAGAGGAGGGGACCCCAGGGGAGAGGAGGAGAGGGGAGGGGAGGGAAAACGAAGGACGGGATAGAGAATGAGGAGGAGAACAGCGAACTAACATTTCGTTAGAAATGACATTTCTTTTCATTGCACGAAATAAAATGTCCAAAATTTCCCAGGTTCTTTGTGTACCTTTTAAAAGCATACTAGTAAACACCCAGAAGGAAAGCCATTTCACAAACAGCAATCCTTTGTCATAAAATGTACAGGAATTAATACTAAATCATGCCTTATAGTGTTATTTACTACGCCACTCCGGTCGCCCGGCCATGCGGCACGGTTGTACAGTCCGAGCAAGTCGCCCGGGGGTCACCTGCATGGGGCATTCTGTGCAGGCAACAATCAGCCATTCTTGTTTTGGGGGGTGGAGCACCTCTGCGCCCACCTGCCTCTGTTCGAATCCGGGCTGACTCTTTGCTTATGACACACTCTCAGGTTTAGCCTGAACCAGACTCAAACAAACTCAGAACAGATTAAAAACAGACTCAAAAGTTCAGACCAGACTCAAACACACTCAAAGAGTCAAAACAGATTGAAAACAGAATCAGACAGACTCAGATGGACCTGCAGACTCAAAAGAGACTCACACAGACTCACACAGACTCAAAACAGGCTCAAAAAGACCTGTGACGGACTCAAACAGACTCGAAACTGACTCAGAATAGAATTAGACAGACTCAAACAGACCTACAGACTCGAAACAGAATCAAACAGACTCAAAACAGTAGCAGACAGACTCGATCGGATGTATGGACTCAAGCGGACTGAAAACAGATTCGAACAGACTTAGGAGTCAAAACAGAATACCCCCATCCAAACAGCTATCTCATGTTGGAGCCCTACCATCAAAGACTGGCGCAGAATGATGCCAAGCAAACACGGCACACCAGGAAACAGAGAAGAGGTCCTGAGACAACCTCTTTTCTGCAACCCCTGGATCACAAACCCTAGCGGAACGCCGTGGACACTACGCACAAGGGACCGGAGATGTTTGTCCAGGGTGGAAAAAGGGGTGTGGCAGGTGAAGCACATCTGGGCAGAAGATCGAGGGCGATGGTATACAGTACAGGAGCGTCGCCGTCACTTCACAAACAGCCTCCCCAAATGACAACAATGGCTGAAGATATTTTTGGAACTCTGCTGAGGCTCTGGGAGCTGAACCCAGTCGACCAGGCTGCCCACTGGGTCTGAAAACAGCCTGTGGCCAAAGAAGCGAAATCCGCTCGGCACCCCGCCCGGGGCATCTGCACGGCCAGGCGGCCGAGTGGCCTTCCGGGCAGATTTGCCCGGCCCATGCGCCAGGCCAAACAGCCTGGGTTATTGATGTGCAAGGAAAATGAGCGAGAGCAATAGACAGAAAACCAAATTGCAACATTACACTGAAGTCCAGATAACTGTGTACCAAGCAGAAAGAAATATGCACTGAGATACAAGGCAAATAAGAGCAATGCAATGAACTCAAATGTTAATGTCAGTCCTTCTCGCCACCATCAACAATGTATCCAATGCCGCCCTTCTCTTTTGGCGCTCAGCGCCCAGCCTACAACTACTCAGTATCTATACTAGCCTACAGCTACGACATGCAACCAGGAAACACTCCAGTCGAAGACCAATGTACATGATGACTTCGCAGACTGCCGCATACACATTAGGTATGTGTCTCTTCTCTCTCCCGCTCGTCACCTCGTTCCCCACAGTGTGAGTCTCCCTACCACCCGAAGACCACCATCACCCACCGGCGAACCAGCGAGCCAGCTTGGCTATGGCTGCTCGCTCCCGGTGCCTGCTTGCAGCGTCCCTTCCCCAAGCGTCCATGTGTGGCCTCCAGCCGCCAGCGCCTAGGCGATCTCCAGTACTTCAATGAGGCAGCACTGTCGCCCAGTTGCCTGCGGCCAGAATGCCTGGCTGGGAGCCCGTCGCCCGACACTTTTCTTTATGGAAAGTTTGGGCGTGTGCTGGGGCTCAGTAGCTTCATGTCGTGTCAAAGTGTCTGCGCCCAGGCCCAATTCAGACATTGGCCTGGCCCCGATGCAGTTAGGCTGTGCGACGTGGCTCATCTCACTTGCTGCGTCCTGATTGGCCGAACGGCCTGTTTCCACGCCGCTGCCTTGAAGGCTTGAAAAGCCTGGAAGGCTCATGATGTCGTGGTCTCACAGCATACGGGGGTCCTGTAACCAACTGGCACCCAGTAACTGTCTGGCGCCCCAAGGCCTGGAAAATGCCCTGAAAGTAGGCCCCTTGAAGAATACAGGCTCGCCTTCACTTAGGGCGGGCACGAGTAAGGAACAGCAGGGCCCTTATATGACTAGCAATGGCTCATTCCCTCACACTCCCTCCTCCTCAGCTTTGAAAGTCCGATGAGATGCTTCTACGCAGTGGTTTTCCCCTTGAGTTTTCGATCATACTCTGCAATGATCTGAGGGGCTGTCTTCATCAGCTCCTCCTTCATGGACCAACGATCTTCCTTCGGATCTGTATGATGCCTGAATTTAACCTGGTATTCCCTTGGAGGTTTCAACAGTCTTCCTCTGCCGGCTGGCTTTGGAACAGGTATGTCCCGATGATCAACTATGTCGTCGATGTCCACAAAGCCATCAATGGTTGGGGGCAGCGTTGATCTCCTTGATAGAAATTGGTCTGTCTCAGCGAAAGGTGCAAGCTTTGAGGCGTGAAATATAGGGTAAGTGCGTAGGTGACCAGGGATAAGGATGACGTAGGAGGGACCATCCGGATTTTTCCCAACAACGTCAAGGACTTCCCACGGACCGAAATACTGAGGTATTAGCTTTCTAGAGATGTCGGTCTCCTGTCCTAACTCGCGGTCTCTTGTCCTAACTCGCTATATAGACTGTCCTTGATGCCTGTTCTTAGATGCTATCATAGCAGCTTGAGCTTTCATGATGTTTTCAACAGCCTGCTGCATTAACTTTTCATACTGGACGCCAGATTCAATGGTGTCAGGTGTTGCAGCTGGTCAGTTTTCAGGGAGACGAAAAACTACTACTGATCTAGGCGTCCAACCAAATGCAGATCATTCAGAGTCACGGCCGTGGTGTTGTGAATCACAATGTTCTTCAAGCTGGCAATGAGAGGAAGTTGGTTGCCCATCCGCTCAGCTTCTTTTTTCATATTTCACTTGTAATACAGACATCTCTATCGCTCACAATAGACTTGGGCAGTCCGAAGTCACACACCCAATTATCCTTAAATAACTTGATGATGTGTCCGGTCTCCGGCATGGCGACTAACCTAGCGAACTTCGTGAAACGGTCCACGATGACAAAGACATGTCGCTTGCCACCCTTATTGGTCACGAAGGTATCCATGAAGTCCACGGAGATTGGAGACACTCTGCGGCGGACCAGCAGGAATGGGCAAGGGCTTTAACAATTCGAGAGAAGATTATGTTTTTGTCTTGTCTCGTTGGCAAACTTGACAAGTCTGTACGTAACGTGTCACGTCCTCAAGCATAGTGGGCCACAAAATCGCTGAACAAGGTTATCACTTGTCTTCTTATAGCCAAAGTGTCCGGTCGCATCATGACACTCACCTAAAAATAAACTGCGCAAAGACTCACTACATGGAACAAATAGTCTTCTATTCCCAGCCTTTTCAAGAAAGAGCAACCCATCCACCACCACAAGCTCGTTCGTCGTAGCTTTGTCTTTGGCCTCGAGCTTGCGGATGATGTACATCATCACGACATTTTCCTTGTGGGTGTCCATCATGGACCGAGTCAATTCATTAGATAGGCCAAACTCGGTTATCATCGCACCAGAAAGTCCGCCTTACGTGAAAGTGCATTAGCAACCTTATTCTACTCCCCCTTCAAGTACTCAAGCTTGAAGTCATACTGACCCATGACTTCAATCCATATTTTCAGAGCATCTAAAATGGTAGGCTGCGTCTTAATCCATGAGAGGGTCTGATGGTTAGATCTTACATAGAAGAATCTGCCCAAGAGATAGTGCTTCCAATGGATCAAAGTCTTGTAAAGGGCATAAAGTTTGAGCTCATAGGTGGATTTTGCCAACTTCTTAGATGACATCTTATTACTCATGTACTCGATAGGCCTCAATGTTTTACCCTCCTGTTGAGCTAAAACCGCATCAATGTCATATTGGCTTGCATCCGTTGTCACAATGAAGACTTTTCAAGATCG